TTGGCTTGGATTTGGTGACTACTGTTCCATCACCGACCAGATTGCAGAAGATGTGCTCAATGTCATCGACAACCGTAGTTTACCGGTGCCACAGGGCTTACGAGAACTACCCTGGGAGGTACAGCTCCAGTATTTCCCAAAGTTTCTTATCGGGGAGTATTCGGCGTTTGACTACTATTTGCCGGACGTGGGCCGGGAGTGTAACGCCCAGACATGTCCACCCATGCCTATGGTTCAGAACTATACCGATAATGAGAATGGTATGCGACAAATGAGACGGTACAGTTACGATGAAAATGTGAATGTATTGCCCTTTGTGTTAATGAGTAATGCGCTTTGGATAAAAATGATCATGGATCTTAATAATGCTAAATATTGTTCACCTTACGTCATTACCTAGCAGAATACTTTGCATATAATTTTGTTATATTGCTAATTGTATTAATGTATTCGATATCTTTAATATATTTTATTAATCATTAAAAGTAACTACGTAACTATTTGCATTTTTAGATAATATTATGTTTTTATGAATATGTGGAACACCTTAACATTTATGGGAACACCTAATTATTTTGCTAATGAATGCGTTTTATTTATTAGTACAGTATATCTGACTATTAATCAAATAAAAACCTCAGTATTCAAAAAACATTAAATAATAAGTTATATTCAATACTATGTAATAATACTATAATATATTAACTATGCGAACTTGGGCCAATTTATATAACTTTTAATGTATTCAATAAATAGTTATTGAAATATTTTAGCTTATTGACTGTTTGACATTATTAATAGTTATTAGATCTATGTTATTTAAATTGATGTATTAGTTTAATATAAAATCACGCTGGTACAGTAACCTAAATAACAATTATAAATACACATCATTATGACATTTACTCTCATTTGTCAAATAACACAAAAACAATATTTATGATAAATTAGTTGAAAAAATGTACTTATTATTAATATTATTAACTTTAACTAGTTCCTATAAATTAACTTTAAGTATTAATATTTTATAAATTAATACTGGTGCAAATTAACTAATTGTTGTATATTTTAACTTTAGCCAAAAGTCTCAGCGAATGTAACATAAAAAGCGTGAATTTGGTGCCAAAAATAATGGGCGGACAGACCGTACAGCCCATGGAGTTCCCGTGGATGGGCTCACTTCAGGTCAAATACTTTTCATCGCATAATTGCGGCGTAACTCTCATTAACGGTATATTTATTTCATAATAAGTTATGTTTTATAAAAACTTAATAAATTAATACCTTTAATAAACCTAAAGAATATTCTTGTGTTTAAAAAACACTAGTTTTAAAGCATTTTAACAAATTTAAAATTATTTAGTTTTTGAGAATTAATTATAATTTATTTGATGGACGGGTAGAGGAGTGGGCGCTGACGGCCGCCCATTGTATGCGAAAGTCTGGCTCACCATTCAATTGGAAGATCAGATTCGGTGAACATTTTCTCAACAAACCCGAGGATACGGAACGGGAGTTCACTATAAGTAAAGTAATGTATATTTTGTATACATTTTATATTATTAATCAAAAATCACAAAATGCTTAATGAATCGACATTTCATAGGTTTTCATACATAAGGACTACTCAAACGTCACGAAAGTCAATGACATAACGCTATTGAAATTGTCGTCAAAAGTAGACTTCGCCGGTAAGGACAGACACCTCAGGCCGATATGTCTGCCGCCAAAATCACTGCAAATACCTGCCGGTGCTGTGTGTCTGGCCATTGGTTTTGGAAAGCGATATAACAGTCAGTGTTTTAGTTAACAAATTAATTATAATTATAACTAAAAGTTATAACCATTCAGACGAAGCGTATTCAACGGTATTGCAAAAGGTTTCCAAACAATTCATAGACCAAAACACGTGTATTAAGTCGTGGCCCGGGATCCAGTTCCCCATAAACGAGGGTCACCTGTGTTTTGATGGCTTAAAAGAGGACAGTGGTGTGTGTAATGGCGACTCCGGTGGGCCCATACAGTGCCAGACCAGCGATGGCAAGTGGGTTCAGGTGGGGGTCGCCTCCTGGACCTCCAATCCCTGTGCTCTCAAGGGCTATCCGGCGGTGTTTACACGTGTGGCCTATTATGCCGATTGGATTCGCGATATAATTGACAAAAATTAATGTATAATTTTTTAAAACTATTATTTGTTGTCTATTGTACCTTGTATACAAAATTTTACACTCATTACTAGATAATAAATAAATATTTTTTACTCTCTATTGCTTATTACGGGTATATTAAAAGTAATTTTTACTAAAAGTTTTGGTATTATATTTAGATAAATGTTTAGTTTTTCACTTTACAGTAAAAATAATTCAAAAATTATTCATTGAAATGGCATTTATTAAGTAATTAATAATAATTCATAACATTTCTCATATCAGACGCTTTAAAAGCGTTTTAAAAAATTAATTTCAATTGAAATCTCAAAAACAAATCATGAATTAATTAAAAAAACTAAATTTTAACTCAAATTTCGACTTAATTCACATAAAAACCCCGAAAAAACTACACATTATATCGATTGTGAACACAAAAAATAATTAAAAATCAATTACTAAACAAAAAAACAATTAAAACTTAAATAATAATTAAATTTATTTCAATTACAATACAACTACAGTCGCTCTAACACTCTAATCAACAGAGTAGTAGTGGACAGCCTATGAAGCCTACGATGTCGGCGCTTTGGTGCCTAACATCAGTATATTGCTCTCTTCGATGACGTAATGGTCGGGCACTTCCAGGTTGAGAGGGGCCGGACCCTTACGTATGCGTCCACTGGCGTCGTAATGGCTCCCATGGCACGGGCAGTAATAGCCGCCCCAATCGCCCTGATTAGCGATGGGTATACACCCCAAGTGCGTGCAGTTGGCCATCACGACCAGCCATTTGCCGCTCGAGTGCCCGTACGAGCGCTCCTCGTCGGTCTGGGGGTCGCGCAAGTCGTTAACGTTTTGCGCCCTTTCCTTCGCAATCTCCTCGGCCACCCGGTGCCGGATGAACACCGGTTTGCCTGCGAGGGAACGGCATGTCATACATTAGAATTAAATTTTGTTATTCATGTCTTATATATGTGGGGAATGGCGGATATAGTGGTGTTGACTAGTATATGAGGTGTAAGTGTGCTATTAGTTAGTTATACAGTGTATTATTGTATTATAGAGAGAGAGAGAGAGAGAGAGAGGGAGAGAGGGAGAGAGAGAGAGAGAACTATTGTGAGACTTAGGGAGAGCTATAGTTGCCATGAGTTGGTGAGTGAGAGAGCTATAGAGCTATCGACTCAATGGTGAACCCGCACATCCCTGATCACAACACACATACCGTTCCACTTGACGATGACATTCTTTCCCTCCGGAATCGCCGACAAATCGATATCAATGATACCCAACGCCTTAGTAGAGGCGGCCGGCGCCAGATTCGCCACTATAGTCGACGCTATCTTTTTCACGGCTATAACACCCGTCACACCGACGCCTATCTTAACCGCGTCTATAGGCAGCCGGCGCTCATCCCTCGACTCCTTGGCCACACGGGTCGGGTCCTTAGTGCTCGGGCGCCGGTAGTCGTCAAAACTCGGTATCTTTATGTCGTTGTGGTAATAGCGTAGTTGCGTACCCACTGTCCCACACAATGGTAAGCACCGGGAGGTCATCGCCAATACAGGGATTCAAAGAATAAACAATTAATAAAACAGTTATACAAATAATGCCTTCATAGTAGACACCATAGTGTTTGCGCCGGTAGTATACGGGTCAGGGAGGTAGTGGGGGTACTGTTCCGCATATGATAAACCACTAAAACCGGTGGTAAACTCCTACACTTCCTATACCTACCGGTGCAGTCAAACACCAACTAATGTAATCATAATAGACACTAACAGTGTCTGCACCGGTAGTACACGTGTGGGACTGGAATTACACGTATATACGGGTGTATTAGAGATACTCCACACCCAACACAACACCCACCGGGGGGTCAAACCCTCCCAAACCATACACTAGTAGTACACAAACACATGGAAACTACCGACGCTTTACCTCCAACACCGGTGCCGACCGTCAACTGTCGCCTGAATAGGGTCTGCGAGAGTCCGTAGGAGGTGTGGTGTTTGGGGGCTACGGGTGCCGTCAGCCGGTCGATGTCCACCCACTGGTACTCATACGGCAATACGTCGGGCAACGAGTGCTCCCTTTCCTCCCAGTGTGACAACAGGGGTTCCGAGGGCTGCGGTCTGATGTGTTGGCCGCCCACCGCTTGGGTCAGCGCCCGTACGGCCCCCGCCATCCCTGCGCCCCCTCTCGCACTCACTGTAAGCATAATTACCCGAATAATAACCGGTTGTTTGGGTCGCGAAAAGCACTGGTATTTTGGGTTAACCTCCAAATGAATGCCTTTTCTCACTATTTTGCACAATATTTACGGTGATGTCACGTGAGTGTGTGCGAAGTTGTAGACGTGCGCTATGTGTTGGGTATGAGTGGTGTCTATAAAGTTTTGTGTTGTCGTGTATTTTTTGAGATATTCAAAATGGTTGTGTGTTTGCGTACAGTATAGGTAAGTGTTCTGTTGACTGCTAGCTATGAGTTGTGTGCGAGTGTTGTCTACAATATATTATGCGGAGGTATAAAATGTGCGGTTGAAACTGTGTTAACTGACAGCAGATATATAGGCTTAACTGTAGTGACAGTTATGAGGTTTTTGGTATTAGCCTTTATATGCTTTTCAATGGGATAGTAGTTTTCAATGCAAAAGCATTTCAATAGCATTCAATGGGATTTTAACATTAACTTTGCAGTATATAGTTAATTATAGTTATGTTTATGATTAGAGTAGTTTAATTTAATTTTATTTAGATATGTGATTATGATTAATTTTTATAAGCACTAAAATTACATTGATTGATTAATTTTATTTATATAGTTTTTAAATAGTATTTATTGATTTTATAAATGTTCAAAAGTTTAAAAACTTTTTTATAATTAATTGATATGTAATTTATTATAGGTTAACTTAAACCTGATATAATAGTAACTTACATAACTTACTAGAGTAGTACAATAATTAAAATTTTAAACATTTATTGAGTATTGTCTTATTAAATGAACAAGGTATGCAATAAATAAAAGTTTAAATAATATTAAAAACGTTTGAGTTTTATATTACAAATCTATTGGCTTTCAATCCACATATTAAGTTTTATTAATTTTTAATTATCTAATTTATACACAATAATAAATTTTGTAAAAATAATCGTACAGATAATTATTACTTACAAAATTTATCTAGCTTATAATGAATTTTACATGTGTTCACTACACAATGAAAATCCGTTTTCTTATGTAAATTCTGTATTTAAATTGTTTTAAAAGTAATTCTCCAGAAAATTGCGAGAGAGAGAGAGAGAGAGAGAGAGAGAGAGAGAGAGAGTTTCAATCAATATATCATAATTAAAATAACAATTTTTGCTGAATTC